TTCCTCCTCCTTCCTTTTTTTCTTTGTTCCTGCAATTGGTAGGCATGATTGGAAGAGATGAAATTGGGGAAAGAGGCCATACGTGGCTGAGCAATAAGACAGAAGATGTCTATTTTGGTCTAGGTTGCTTCTGGTAAGCGTGGGGGTGGACTTGCTAGGATCAATTATTGCCAGATTTACACTTGAAAAAGAAATGAATCTCTGTCTTCTTTAGTTCACTGTGTTTTTGTTTCTGTTGCTTGCATCCAAAATAAATAATACTTAATAAAATGTTTGTATCATTGATTTTTTTTTTACTTTCACCTACTTTCACTGACTGAATAATTACTGATTCAATCAGAGGGCTTTTATTCAATACAGGGAGGGGTAGAGAGACAAATTACTGTGAATATATATACATTACATAGTCTCCTTTATGTAACAATTATGACTGAGATGCACAACATTATATAAAATCTTTACTCATAACTTTGCTTATTTCTGTAGAAGAGAAATCTGTAAGTAAAAACACCAGATTAATGGTACAGATAGCCTAAGAGGCAGTTGATACATATTATGCATTTTCCTTCCAGATTAATTTTGTCAGCACACATCATTAAGGTAGGAATATGCCTGTCTCCATACTTCTGTTATCGAGTTTAATAGTATGGCACCATTGCTATTTAAGCTATTTTCATAAGAAAAATGTGAAATATGATGGGTTATTTAATTATAAAATTATATTTTTGTGTATTGAGTTTCTATAAGCAGAACATGGTTTCTTACTGGCTATTTATACCTCTTCTATGTAAAAAGTGTTCATGTTCTCTTCCAAACTTTCATGCTGTTGGCATCTTAGTATATTCCTTACTGATTTGAAAAAGGTCCTTTGGTCAGGTAATTTTAAGTTATGAAAATATTTTAATTTCAYTTACCCTGTTTGATTAGATATTCAGATATTTTTTCCATTTGGTAAAATATTATTTTTTTCCATTTTAATTACACTGAAGTCAACAGTAAAATCTTTTTTTCCTAATCTACTTTAGTATATACAGAACTATTTTGAATAATAGTATCTAAGTTTAAACATCATCTGTGCTTCTGTCTTGCCTCTTAAAAGAAGGTGTTAAATATAAATGTGTAGCAAAAAGGGCACAGGATTTATTTTATTTTTGTGGAAGTTTCACCTTAGAAAACTATTGGCAAGAGTCATGGATTTCCTGGCAATAGAGTGGGATGCTTTATATCCTAAATCAAATATAGAGGACTATGCCCATCAGATTAAGCATGCTTTGGAAGCATGAAGTTCAAGCTTTAAACATAGGTAGCTGCTGTGAAAAATTGCTACCTTGACATCTGATTAAATGGTATAAGCAACCTATTCTCTTCCTGTCATTGATTTTATTTGATTTTATTTAATGGTCAGTTTTTACTGACTTCTTCCCCCTATATTTGTTTTTTTTCTTCATTATTATGGTTTTTGTAATTTTCCTTTTTTTGTGAACAAGTCCTCTTTGGGGAACATTTTCAATTATTCATATAACTGACTACCTCTAATTTTCAGTTAATATGYTCCATATTTGATAAATATATTACCTCTGTTTTTAAATATCATTCTTCCACAACCTTCTAGACAACTCAAACTGTGGGAAGGCTGAGTCTAAAAACTGATCTATAGCCAATTGTATTTCTGAAGCTACCAATAACAATATTTACTTTATATAGAGCACTTTTCATTCCATACATTTAAAAAATATTTTATTACTTTTATAAGTATGAGTATAAACATTTGGGAGATGGATTGAGTAATTTCCATTTTGCCTCTTTTACAAATAAGAGCCTCTTGTCACAATTTGCCAGAGTCTATTCTCTCTAAAACTATTTGCTTAAGTTACAAGTGAGTCCAGATGTCAGTTTATATTTTCCTTAAGTACCCATGGGAATTCATGGATGTCCTGTTATTAGGCAAATTCAAGAAGCTAAACTTGAGCCTTTGAACATCTAGTTGGTCAGAATTCAGCAATATCATTGAATCTCTTTCCCACTTGCCATTTTTTAAAAAAAGAATTGCATGCTCAAAGTACTATGGATGCAGTAATCTTTCCTTTTGCAAGAAAATTAAAACTTGGAATTTGCATTCAAATTTTCTGATAATCTCAGAAGACATATGGACAAGCAACCAATTATTTAAAAGAATAAGAGAGACACCAAGGGTAGTGACTCACACCTGTAATCCCACCAATTCTGGRGGCTAAGGCAGGAGGATTGTGGGTTTGAGGCCAGTCTCTGCAATTTAGGATGACCCTGTCTCAAAATAAAAATAAATAAAAGGACTGAGGATGTAACTCAGTGGTAAAAGTAACCTGAGTTCAATCCCCAGTACCTAAATAAATAATTTAAAAGGACAAGAAAAAGCAGAATAAAATAGGTGGTATTGTAGTGATACTATGAAGGTGCTATGAGAGTTATTTAGATTTACATAATATGACAAAATATCTGAAAAAGTCAACTAAAAAGGAAGGCAGGCTCAAATTTGTCTCAAAATTTCAGAGGTTTTCAGTCTATGGTTGGTTGGTTGGTTGGTTCATCATGGTGTGGATGGGACAAAGCTGCTTATCTCATGATGGCCAGGAAGAAAAGAGAGAGAAAGGGGCCAGATTCCCAATATCCCCTTCAACAGTATCTTGCTCAGTGACCTAACAGCCTTTCATTGGGCACAACCTTTTAAATTTTCCAYCACCTCCTGATACTGTCACTGTCTGGGAACCAAATCTTTAGCACACAGCACTTTGGGGGACATTTAAGATTTGAACTCTAAAAGGCAGTATACTGGAAGGGCTGATTTTTWAAAAATTAGAGTTAATGATTAAAAGTTTCTTGAAGAACTTGGCACCAGAGTTGTTTGAGCTTTGAAGAATGATTGAGATTTAGATAGTTACCCATGTTGGGTATGGTCTATTAATTATGATGAGGTTTTAGGTTCTTCAGATATTCTGGGGTTGATGCTACCTCCTTAAGAACTCCCAGAGGGCATTACATCTTTCTGACTGTATACAACAAATACAATTTGGAGAATCTGACCATGGCTGTTAATATGCTTATAGGACACATATAATATATCTGTACAACTCGAGTATATAGATACAGAAAAATAACACTTAGCCATTTGAAATTAAAAACATTTAGGGCAGAAAAAAGACTTTTAGAAATGATATACTTAAGCCTTTCATTTACGAAGACCTCACCAAGAGGATCAGTAATCAACCAAGGTCACTTAGGTAACTTGAGCAAACTTTCCCTCTATCAGAAGGCATGGCTTTGAAATCTGCACTTTTCTACATCCACCAGTTAATTTCTATAGATGTTCTGAAATAAAATCATCAAATCCTCACCCCCACTTATCAGACAAATATACTCTAAACTCTGCAATGAACTTGCATGCATGAGCTAAGTTGAAGGAACATAAAATGGACCAAAGGCAGGAAATGCTTTAGGACTCGGTACCCGCATAATGAAAATACGGAATAATCTGCACTGGAAAAAAGACACTGGTAGGACTCTACCTGATATCTAATTCACCTACAAAGGAGTGAGAAGAGTAAAGGAGGGAGAGAGGAAAGAAAGGGAGGTAGGGGGGAGAGGGAGAGAAAGAGCTG